CCGAGGGCTGCTGGGCTGCCAGAGGGATGTCTGATTGCCAGCTTAGGCCCAATTCCCCGAGGAGCAGGCCTAAGCCAGCAGGTGGTCATCCCCCGAGGGGTCCCAGACTGTGAGAGGGCACTGGCCGGGCTGAGGGACCCTCCCCCACCGAGTGCACAGATTTTTGTGCACTGGGCCTCTAGTATATGATATAGCTGATTTCAGGGGATTCTTTGACCCCTTGGGGTTCAGTATTCCAAAGTATTTACTACACACCAGGTATTGCCTCATTTAATTTTTACCACACCCCTGTAAGCAGTTTCTATTATGCCCTATTTACAAATGAAGGATTCGGTTAAATAACACATCCAAGACCACAAAAGAATTAAGTACCAGTGTTAGAATTTGAACCCAGGTCAATCTCACTCTACTGCCAAACTCTTAACCACTGTGTTATACTGCCTTTTACATCATAGATGAAGATAGGAAAAAAACAAAAACATCTTAAATAAAGATTAAAAACTTATGCTCCAATAACTGGGTAAACATGTCTAGGTTCAAACTATATAAGCAAAAATTGTTAATACATATATACATCTAGTGAAAAAAGAAGACTCTCCTTATTTATTTATTTGCCATTTGCAATAGTTTCTTATTTTGGAAGGTGCTAGGAAAACAATGAATTTAATGGCTGACAAGCAAATGGGAATAGGAAATAAGCAAAATGCAACCGGCCGGTTTCACGTTTACTGCCGTGATTTATCCAGATGTTGTATCTTGTGCATTTTCAGGATTTGGAATATCGTCTGGATCCAAAGACCAAGGAACTGCCTCACTTAAGAAACCCTGACATTCTTGTGGGTGAAAATGACCTCACAGCCCTCAGCTATCTTCATGAGCCTGCTGTGCTCCACAATCTCAGAGTCCGCTTTATTGATTCCAAACTTATTTATACATATTGTGGTAAGTGTACCTTGTTGTCCGAGTGGACTGTAAACTCTTTCCTCTGATAGCCTTGGCCATGGAAATATGGCGATGGGGAAGGAGGACTGTGATTGGCTTTTGTCTTAGAGACAATTTCACTTCAGAATTATCAAAAAGATTTACCAATGCTTCTTAGCTAGGTGTACTTTATGCAGAATAAGCTATTTTGTAAATTTACATAATTTTTGTCAAAATACAAAGAACTGGGTCCCTCTTTTAGATCCTCCCACCCCCACAGAATTTAGATGCCAACTTTAATGCCAATTTGCCAGTTATTTTCATCTCTTTTAACAACATGAAGAATAAATGTCCAAAGATTTATCTTTGGGGCTGGTTCAAGAATTTAGTGTCTTTCTCAATTACTTAAAAATGCAGGACTGACTTGATTTGTAATACCTATTCCTGTTTGATCTGCTTGCCTAGCCCCCTGCTCCTTATAGTATTAGCTGCCAGGGACCTAGCTCAGAGTTCTTTTTATATCCCTTAGAAATTAAGCATGTTCATGTTATGTACATTTTGGTTTCTTTCCCTCTTTCCTTTTTTCTCTGTTTTCTTTTTGTTTTGTTTTGTTAAATCCTCACCCAAGGATATTTTTCCATTGATTTATTTAGAGAAAGTGGAAGGGAGGGGGAGAGACACAGAGAGAGAAAAATCGATGTGAGAGAGAAACATTGATGTGAGAGAGACACATCAGTTGGCTGTCTCCTACACATGCTCTGACCACGGCCAGGGTTGAGGCCTGCAACCAAGGTATATGCCCTTGATTGTAATTGAACCTGGGACCCTTCAGTTCATGTGCTGATGCCTTATCCACCAAGTCAAACCAGCTGGGGCTCTATTTTCTTCCTAGCCTTTGTTTTCTCTCTCATTCTTGCCTCTTTTTTCTTGACTTCTTATCTTTCTTTCACTAATCATTCTCCTCTGAGACTCAGATCCAAGATTTCCATTAGTTTCCTTCTGTTTGCTTGGGATAGCCAACTCAGTGGTGACCATTTTTTCATTACTGTTCTGTTTGGGACAGGAACAGATACCTCTTCTTTTTAAAATAATTTATATCTTTTTTTAAATTAATTAAATCTTTATTGTTCAGAATATTACATTTGTTCCTCTTTTTCCCCCCCATAACTCCCCTCCACCCAGTTCCCACCCCACCCTCCTCCCTCACTCCCCACCCACTGTCCTCATACATAGGTGCACGATTTTTGTCCAGTTTTTTCCTGCATCCCCCACACCCCTTTCCCCCACAAGAATAGTCAGCTCCCTTTCTATGCCCCTGATTCTATTATAATCACCAGCTCAAATGATAGCTTTGCTGGGTAGAGTAATCTTGGTTGTAGGTTCTTGGCACTCATCACTTTGAATATTTCTTGCCACTCCCTTCTGGCCTGCAAAGTTTCTGTTGAGAAATCAGCTGACAATTGTATGGGTACTCCCTTGTAGGTAACTGACTTTTTATATCCTTGATATTAACTCCCTTTCTTCCTTGTGTATTAACTGAATATTTCTTTTTAAAAATTTTTCTTTTACTTTAATTAATTTTTTTTTGCACATATGTTACCTTCTTGGTGAAGACTTCCCTGCCCTACCCTCCCAACTAAGTCATAAACTCCTTGTCCCCTCTTTAGTATCTATCTTCCTTTTCTGTTTAAATTTTCTCTTTTTCCTTACTACTACCTAATCTATGATATATATTTTTTTCTTATTTATCTTGTGAATTGTTTGAATTACCCTCCAGAATATAAGGTCCATGAGGGTAAAGATTTCTTTTTTTTGTTTACTGTTGTAAGTCTAGAACTTAGACTTGAAACATAGTTGGAGCAGAAAAAATATTTGTTGAATTGAATGACTTAAGTTAATATACACCTACTGTAAAAGTTAAGGAAATACAAAAAACGAAAAGCATTACATGTAACTCATCACTGAAAAATAACTATCTTTTGATTTATGTGTGTATATGTCTCTAGTGGTGTGTCATGTTTTCCTGTGACTTTTAAGATTCTTTAAAAATATGATTATGTTTGTAGCACAAAAGTGTGTCATATGGCTGTAACAAAATTATTTAATCACTCTATTATATATTTTGTTTGTTTTCCCTTTTCACTGTTATGAATAACATTTTGATAAACATCTTTATTTAAAGAAAAACACCCTTGCATGAATCTCTGAGTATTTCATTTGAAATGGAATTTTTGGTTTAAATATTATAAAAATATTTAAAGTTATTTTAACATTGTCCCAATTGTCATTATTTTAAATAACTTAGTTCAGTGTTTAATTGGTATTGTATTTAGGACTAAGTATAATGTGTTTGGAGACAAAGGCTATAACATTTTTTGAGCCTTACCAATTTGTTCAATATTGACTGAAATGGAAATTTGTGTTAGCTGTGATTCTCAGTTAACCAAGTTTAGTATGCCCGTTAGGATATCATTGATTTCTTCTTTTGCTTTTTCACCCCTTCCCCAGGTATAGTCCTAGTAGCTATAAATCCTTATGAACAGCTGCCTATTTATGGAGAAGATATTATTAATGCATACAGTGGTCAGAACATGGGTGATATGGATCCACATATCTTTGCAGTAGCTGAAGAAGCTTACAAGCAAATGGCCAGGTTGGTGGAAGCTCTATTTATTATTTCATGACTCTTTTTAGATGTGATAACTTCTTTATTGCTGAGTCACAGATATTTCAAAATACAGTGAATGGCAGCTTATAAATTATTATTAAATAAACAGCCTTGACTAGCTTATCTTAGATGGCCTGCATTATTTTTAAAATAACCTACATTTGTAAAAGGCATATGATTTTTAAAAACCACCTTTGGAATCTCATTGTGATCCTGTGACTATGCAAGGATAGATATTACATTTTATAGATGAGTGGATCAAGGACTGGTAGTACTAAATCGCTTGCCCAGTGTCATTCAGCTGAGTGGCAGGCAAGAACTAAAAACTGGAATAAATCTGCTTGTATCTTAGAGAATTAACTATCAAGGAAATTTTGAATTTCAGTGCTAGCATTATGTACTATGACATCAGTGATCCTGAATAGCATCTGAAAAATGTCTTTGGTATTAACCATGGAACCCTAACATTTTAAGAATGGAAAATCGGAGGAAAAAAAGCTACTTTTAAGACTAGATTATACTCTTAATAATATAATGTTATGTAATGCAAAACTATGGATGCATAGAAGAATAGTTTATATTTATCTCATTTTTCCAGCCCACAGGTAAAAACTTGGCATGTTATAAATATGATATGGGAAACCCTCAAACATTTTGTGAGGTGGAGAGAAAACTAATACTGCAGAGGTTTTTGTTTTTTCCTTTCCATCCAGAGAGTTATTTATACATAATTGGATCCGCGTGTGACAGAATTTTAGAATTGTTCAATGACAGTCCATAGAAGTCATTATACCCTTTTATTTGTAAAGTATTATTAGTACTTTTTATAGCAGCAAGCAGTTATTAAGTACTCTCTTTGTGCAGTGCACTGTTTATTTGTTTTCTGTTTATGAACTAATTTTATCCTCATAGAACCTTCTGCATTAGTAAACAGTAATGAATGTCCAAAGTTTAAGAAAGCCCCGCCGGCGTGACTTAGTAGTTGAGCATTGATTTATGAACCTGGAGGTCACGGTTCAGTTCCCCATCAGGGCATATGTCCAGATTGCGGGCTCCATCCCCAGTGGGGAGCATGCAGGAGGCAGCTGATCAGTGATTTTCTCTCATCATTGATGTTTCTATCTCTCTCTCTCTCCCCCTCTCCCTCTTCCTTCCATTCTGAAATGAATAAAAATATATAAAAAAATAAATAAATAAAAGTTTAAGAAACTTTTTTAAGCTTAAAATTGAGAAAATTCCATCTATTAGTATAATTTTTTTCCATAAAGTTAGAAAAGCCCACCAGTATTTGATTTGTACAGTATTGGATCATTGCAGTAGAGTTAGCACTATACAAGTACAACCTGAGAACTAGGCAAAGAGATAATTGCATGGAGTGCTAGAGCCTAAATGTAATCTCAGAATTTTTTTGCTGCTCATAGAGAACTATATTACTTCTTTGAAAATGCTCTTCCTTAATTATGAAAGCTTGTCTCTTACCATCTTTGCTACTGGTAATTCACAAATAGTATTAAATTTATAGGAATATTTTTTTCTTTTTACTCTTAGATTTATTAACATTCACCCCCTCATTATTCCCCTGTGGCTCAGCCACTCAATGTAATTTATTAACTGCAGGTTTGTTGGTTGGTTTTCTCATTACTTAGTTTTGTTTTTTACACAATTTTACAATACGCTTCAATTATGATATTAAGTTTACTTTTTAAAAAAAATATATTTTATTGATTTTTTACAGAGAGGAAAGGAGAGGAATAGAGAGTTAGAAACATCGATGAGAGAGAAACATCGACCAGCTGCCTCCTGCACACCCCCCACTGGGGATGTGCCCGCAACCAAGGTACATGCCCTTGACCGGAATTGAACCCGGGACCCTTGAGTCTGCAGGCCGATGCTCTATCCATTGAGCCAAACCAGTTAGGGCTTAAGTTTACTTTTTCTATGAATAAGTCTACACCCATAAAATGTGCCATAAGAGCTAAATAGACCGTGTCTGCTTAGACTTATAATCAGGAATTGATGTTGCAGGATCTTTTTTTTTCCTTACCAAATGAAGATGTGCCATCTTTACTAGATGTGAATTCTGGTGTTTTGCATTACTGGTGCTCCTGAGGCCTCTGGCGTCTTCAGGGAGGCACAGTTCATTGCTTGTTCAATAGACCCTTACTGAGCACCATCCAGGCACTCTTTGGGGGTATGGAGGACACAGCAGTGAACACATTAGACAAAATAGACAAAAATGTCTACCCACATGAAGTGAGGTATGACAAACAGTAAAAATAAATAAATAAGATGCAACTCTAGCTGTTTGGC